TCTTAGGTTGACTTTACCTTCCAGGTATGTGAGAGGAATTCATTATAATGAGGTGGGGTATTAAGCATGGTAACTCAAAGAAATACTCGGAGTTAGAACTAGTGTTGAGATTGCTTAAGAAAGTTGGTCAGAAAAAAAAGAAAAGAAAGTTGATCAGAATACTTTCAGGATAGTATTTCTGGAATGCTCTCTGAGCTGACTAAGGGGATACTTCCCAGCATTTCTCCATACTCATAAGGAGCAAGGATGAAACTCTATTTACTGGCCAAAAGATGGCACTGTGGTCCCCTGGGATCTGAGGGACTCAGGAGAGAGTCTGAGGCAGCAGCCTGGGGGTAGGGGTGGGGGCGGGGGGAAGGGTTAAGAAAAATGTGGGCTTGGATCCAGTATTATGCAGAAGTTGAAGTTATCAGTTACTGCTAGGCTTCCTGTAGCCATGTAAGTGCTGGGAGGTCCCTGTCAACTTTAAAGAGAGCCACAGTTGAAGAGTGTGTCAGGACAGCCTTGCTGTGAGGGGCAGGTGCAGACAGAGGAGCAGCTGCCTCAGGGGAGCGTGGGACCCAAAGCCCAGCACATGGCTGCTGCCCCATCCTCCCTGGGGCTGCGCTAAGCCATGGCCTCCGTGAGAGGAGGGGGTCCTGCCTGAGCCCAGTCACAAGGGACCTGGGCCAGGGAGAGTCTGGAGGGGCAGGAGGTGACATCACAGCCCCCCACCTGACTCCTAGGGCAGGTATCCCCAACCTATGGTAAGTTGTGTAAGTACCGCATTATATATTACAATGTAATAATAATAGAAATAAAGTGCACAATACATGCAATGCTGCACTTAAAGCATCCCGAAACCATCCACCTTACCCCAGTCTGTGGAAAAATTGTCTTCCATGAAAAGGGTCGCTAGCTGGGGACAAGGTTGGGGATCACTGCAGAGCAGCCTGAGAGCCCTGTGCACAGTCCTGAGGATCAGAGCGTTTAGCTGGGAGAGCCCAGTCCTCACCTGGCCCTGCCATGAACCTCAGGCTCTTCTATGTGACCCAGTGTCTCCTGGGAGCAGATGCGTTCTGGGCTCCCCTGGGAAACCCTGTCACAGGTTTGCAGAATCCTGGCTGACAGCTTTTCCTTTCCTTTCCTCTGCAGATTCCACCTCCTCTTAATTCTTGTCTTCAGCTTTATGTCTGTCTCTCCCACAGTCCCCATGTGCACTGTTGTCACCCAGACATCAAGATACCACATTACACAGACAGGGAAAAAGGTGATCCTGGAATGTTCTCACATTAGGAATCGTTATTCAATGTTCTGGTATTGACAAGACCTAGGACATGGGCCAAGGCTGATCTGTTATCCGATAGTGTCAGCGGCACTATCCCAGGAAATGTCATGGAAGGGAAAAACATCTTCTGAAACAAAACTGAGGGTTTCCCCTGAGCCTGGGGTCGACCTGCACCAAGCAGACCTCTCTGCATCTCTGGCCAATGCACCCATGGCCCTGCACAGCCAGCTACACTGTGCGCTAAAAGGGCAGCCACAGGCTGGAGGAGGACACTCCTTCCCTAATCCCCTGCCTCAACCAGGAGAACAAGCTGCCCTTTCTGAAGCTCTTCCCAGACTTTCAGCAATGGGGTCTCGGCTGAGGATTCTCGTGCAACACGTCCCTTAGTGTGAGCTGAGGTTCATCATGGTGGTGTGTATGTAAATACAAACTGCACAATATTATTTTGCTTCATTTGGATATTCTAGTAATTGAGTAGAGCAGAGGAATTGTAGTTTCCAACATGAAATTTGTGTTTTATTTCCTTTTTGAAGGGAGAAGAACTAAGTAGAAAGCAGCTGAGCAGCTGTAAACTGCCTGAATGATCTGAGATTCTACAAATCTCTAAGCGTACACATAATGTTCCTTGGTTTTGACTCCATGGGATATCAAACATGTTCTTTCTGCAAGAAAAATAATTCTAAATGGCAAGTTTTCAAACACACAAGTAAACATCCACATAGGAGAAATGTTAGTAGATGCAGCAAATAGTTTTGTTGGACTTGAAGATAATCAACTAGTAGAATTATTTTTAAAAAGACTATAAGCTAATCCTCTACCCAGTTTCTGTGGATGTAGGGCAGTGTTTTGAGTTCTAAGAGTAGATAAGGAAGGAACCTAATTCTTAGCATTACTTTGGTTTGATTACTATTCATAAGCTCCTCATGTTTTTGTTGAGAAATATTACAGAATAATATTGTGCAAGCATGTTACTTTCTTCCAGCCTGTGTCTCTGCATAGCACCTACTGGCAGAAGTCCACACGCAGGAGCTAAGTTTCTTAACTTCGGATCTACTGAGCACAAGACTGGGAGGCCCATAGCTGGGCTTCACAGGAATACAAATCTCATGGGCAGCAAACCCACGTGCCAACCTGTGCCCAGGTGCACCTCCGGAAGGCTGCCAGGGGAGGAGCGCCAGCTCAACCACAGCCCGTCACAAGGAGAGGAGCAGGCTGCTTGCATGGCAAAAAGCAATTTGTCAATCAGCTAATCTGCTGAAAGCCAAAATGAAAGGCTAAATTGGGAGACTGACGAATGACCCATTTTCCACATTACGGTGTTTATAGCAGTCCATCGTTCATGGAATGTGCATAATAGTGCTTAAAGGTTTTTTTTGTTTTTTTTTTTAAGTTTTGTTTGTCCATAGCTTTTCTTTAGCCACTGATCCTCAATTATTTCTGCCTAGAAATAGAAATACTTTTCAGCTCAACTTGATGCCAAATTTGTGTTTTGTATATTTCAGTCACTGAGTACATCTTATGTTCTATTTTATACAGCTATCTGAGTCTTCCTGTGTTATTTTTGTGTGATTCGTTTCTAAATTGGACTGTACCAGAATACATTAATATTTATATTTGGCTTCCATCTTTTATACATACATATATATACTTTTTAGTAATACTTTTTAAAGTATAATTCATAGACAGTCGAACACTGTTTAATAGAAGGATGAATTTGACAAATGCATACAGCAGTGCAACCATAACCAAAATCATGACAGAGAACATTTCCATCATCCAAGAAATTTTTCTCATGCTCCTTTCTAATCAATTTCTCCCAGAGGTAACTATAATTCATTTCTGATTTCTATCCCCATTGATTAGTCTTTTCTATTCTTGAACTTCATATAAATGGAATCATACAGTACATTTTTACCAATTTATTTTCCTCCAAAATTAATATTTTGAGCTATGTTCATGTTGTATCAGCAGTTCATTCTTTCTCATGGCTGAGTGGTATTCCATCGCATAAACATACCAAAACTTGTTTATTCATTCTCCTATTGATGGATATCTGGATTAGTCCTGTCTTCAACCATTATGAATAAAGTTGTTCTGAACATTCTTGTATAATTCTTCGTGGAAAAATGCATTCGTATTTCTTAGGTATAGATCTAATAGTGGAATTACTGATTCACAGTGTAGGTGTATATGCTATGGTTTAAATGTCCCAACAAAACTCATCTTAAAATTTAATTGCCAATGTAATGGATTGCCGGGTAAGACCTTTAAGAGGTGATTAGGTTTGAAGGATCTGCCCTCATGAATAATTAAAGCCCTTGTTGAGGGTGCAAGTTAGCTGTCAAGGGACCAGGCTCTTGATAAATTGGATGAGTTCAGCCCCATTGTCTTTATGCCTGAGCCCTCGCTTCTGCCGTGAGATAGTGCAGCAGGAGGCCCCCACATGTGTGGCCCCTTGACCTTTGACTTCCCTGTCTTCCAAACCATGAGCCAAATAAATACCTTATCTTTCTAAATTGCTCATTCTGTAATATTTTGCTATAGCGGCAGAAAATGAGCTAAGACAGAAAATTGGTATAAGAGCGTCCTTGTTGATACTAAAAAATAAACTACCTGCAAATATGGAAGCAACTTTGGAACTGGTGATAGGTAGAAGCTGGAAGGATTTCAAGGAGCAGGTAAGAAAAAGCCTGTATTGCTGTGACTGTAGCACTAAGGGCCATCCTGGCAAGGGCTCAGAAGAAGAGGAGAGCTGTAAGGAAGGCCTTACAGGTCTCACAGGGAAAGGAGGAATAAGGTAATTGGGAACTGAAATAGAAGCCATCCTTATTCTCAAGTAGCCAAACCCTTTGCTGAATTGTATCCCTGTCTTAGGACTTTATGGAAAACAGAAATTACAAGCAATGAACTAGGGTACTTGGTGGAGGAAATATCCAAGCAGCAGAACCATCAGGCTGCTGTGTGTCTACTTTTCACCACTCTGATATGTAATCCAGCAAGAAGGGAGTTGGGAGAGTAGATTTTGCAAGTCAGGACAGTTGGTTACTCAACAACCCTCTGCTCTCCTGCCATGGTCTCCAACAAGACAGGGCCAATGGAGGGACAGAAGAAGGAGGCGGTTAGAATGGTCGCTGGGTCAGCCTCTGAGAGCAGGGTGCACCTGAAGGGACAAACACAAACTCTCCAGAGTGCTGCACACAGCACGGCCTTTGGTAAGTCCCAGTTGGCTGTTCTGTGCTGGGAGCTGATAAAGCAGCAGAATGGATTCTGGGGATTCTGTACTGCTGATGATTGACGCGCAGCCAGGTCAACTTAGACCTGATCAGATGGACTAAATCGTGGTGAGTCCGCCTCACTGGCTACTCAGGGGAGGGCCTGGGAACATGCCCTGGGAAAGGAAAATACAACCAGAGACCTTGGTATGAATCCAATATCAATGATGACATGAGCTCAGCCAGGCAGAGCTGGGACAGGAGGGGTGGCCCAGGCTCCTCACTCTCAGCTGATGGGCAGGTGTGAGTCCAGCGTGGAGCACTGCCCCAGTAGCTGGGGGAGGTGGAAGGGGAGGGGGCAGCCTGGGTGCTGGGGCAGTGGGCGGAGGAGCAGCTGCCCTCACCCCGCCCCTGCTCTGCAGATCAGGGAGCTCTGGACCTCAGGAAGCCTTCAGGGGTGACCCAGGGCTGTGACATCACAGATAGTCCTCCAATCAGGAGAAGGGAGCCCAGACTCAGCTCTTCCCCAAGAGGCCCACACCCTGAGCATGGGGACACAGTGCTGCCTGCCCCGTTGTGCCATGGGCTCCAGGCTCCTCCACTGGGCGATGCTTTGCCTCCTGGGGACAGGTGAGCCCTGGGGACAGGGCAGCTTCTCCATTCTGAGCTTGGCGACCCCTGCATCCTGCACCTGACCTTGGGGAGGCACCACCAGGCTGTCTCCTGTGCTCAGTCTCCATCTGCTTCTCCACAGGCCCGGCAGAGGCTGGAGTCACCCAAACTCCAGGACACCTGATCAAAGCAAGAGGACAGCAAGTGACACTGAAGTGTTTCCCTGTCTCTGGGCACGACCAGGTGTCCTGGTACCAGCAGGCCCTGGGTCAGGGCCCCCAGTTCCTCATTCAGTATTATGGAGGGCAAGAGTTAGAAAAAGGAAACTTTCCTGCCCGATTCTCGGGTCACCAGTTCCGTGACTATCGCTCTGAGCTGAACCTGAGCGCCTTGGAGCTGGGGGACTCGGCCCTGTATCTCTGCGCCAGCAGCTTCCACAGCCCTGCAGAGCCACCAGCGCTCTGTGCACAAACCTCCCTGCCCCAGCCTGGAGGAACCTCAGCCCTGACGTATCTGTGACAACCTCAGGCCTGCAGGAGAGGAAAACAAAACAATTTCAGGACAGGGGAACATGCAGCCTGGGGCTTTTCTGCCACGGGCTTGGGGGAAGTGGGGCGAGAAGGTCTGGTCAGAGGACGGTGCTACTTGTGTGGCCAGACGCTGTGTACTACAGTGGTACAGTGGCTGGCACCCTACTCTTTAGGGAAGGAAATGGCATTTCGGGCTCTAGAGTTTTGATAAATGTGTAGTATAGAAGGTAGAATCACAATTGTTTGATTTAGATAGTCTAGGGAGAAAGAGATATTTATTTGGGAAATTTGAGGAGAGAGAATGTGACTAAAGGCTGTTGAAAATAAGGGCAGAGCTGGCAGATGATGAAAATAGTGTTCCTTGCTACATAATCTCGCAAAGTCTCCAATATCCAGGAAACAGGAAGGAAGGCCTTGGAGCAACTGGCCACACCTGGGGCCAGTCCCAGAGGAGACATCACTAAGCAGCCAGGAGCCTGGCGTGAGAGCCCTGGAGCTGATTCTGATGTCTTCTTTCTTGACTTCTGGCTCCAATCTTGTCACCCAGGATTATAGTTTGGTAATTCCCAAACAGAGAAGGTCATTTTAGCCCTGATGGTAACTAGGCAGAATCTCTCCAGGTTTCCCCAAGCTGAATTCTGCCTCCCTGGGCTCCCTTTCCAGCACTTACTGCCCCACCCTGAGCCAGTTATCTTCTGTGAACAAGCAGCTCTTGGACATTTCCCAAAGTCTGCAGGCTTTTGCATCCTCTGCCTTTGCCCTGGATGCTTCCATGGGATGGAAGGCGCCTTCTTCTCCCCAGACAGGGCCGGACACTGCTCACCTGTCAAGGACGGGCTCGCACCTGCCTTCCTCTTAGCTTCTTATCCTGGCATTGCCTGGTACTCCATTGTATCTCTCTTTCCCTTGTTTTGATAGAAAAAGCTATACAATCTGTGACTCTTTCTTGTATTGAACTGAGTAAGTTAATGCTCACATATATAGAGTCCTGGAATATTATTAATCACCAACTATTGTTTATGTGATGAAGATTACTAATCACTAAGTATTTATCGTTTAGAGCTTGTGGACACTTCCGGGTAGTGTAACAAATGTTAGATGCACTGATTCTGCCTCAATTATAGCTGACAAAGTTGTTTATTTTCAGCTTTTGTAAATTGGAAGTAAATCTGTAAAATCTAAAAATCCATTTTCTAAAGTGCACTAGTTAAATTTGGCAATAATGAATTTAAATACAAAATGCAAAAGGATGTGGAATCTGATTAACAAGGAGGAGCTGTGGATTGTGGTGTTTCCAGGCTGGATCACCTGGATGTAGCCACACTGTTTAGTTCTGTGGCCCGCCTAATTCTGGCTCCTGGCTTCCATCTTAGCATGCTAAGTATGGTGTTATAGCCACTATTCCTTTTGTAATCACAATGCTGGTTGATGTGTCCTTTTGCCTCCACTGGCTAAGGGTGAATTTAAAGATCAGCCCTAAATTGCCCCCTCTGGGAAGTGTAGATGGAGTGTGAGAAGGTAGGGGTTGAGGTCTGGACCATCTTGAGCACATCAGGTTGATGGGTGAATCCATGGGACTATGCACTGCTGGACACTTGGAGGCGCTGTGGCTGCGTGATGCTTCAGGGAACCACAGGAACCACCAGGAACCAGGCGTGGGAAGATGTGCATCAGAGCCAGAGGTGGCCTGCAGGGAGAACACCACCAGGGAGAGCAGTGACATCACAGGCCAATGCCACTGCTAGGGACATGGGAACCTCAGAACTCTAGGGTGCTACTACAGGAGCCCCCAGCGCTGAGCCAGGGACCCGTATGCATCCCTTTCAGTCCTACTGGCTCTGGTAAGAAAGAGACAGAGATCAGTTTACCCTGGAGACAGTGAAGTGGGGCAAGACTCTGACTGGGCACCAGGATACCAAGCTCTGATCCCCATCCTAACCCCAGCTGGTCAAGGCCCAAGGCCAGCTCTTGACAGGTTAGGTTTAGGTTTTTTATGTATAAAATGCAACTAATACCATTCATCTTATGGAGTTGTAAACAAAATTTAATGATCATAAAATATTTAGCATAAAGTAGAAATCTAGATCTTTTGATTTCCTTCTTTGCTAATCTCAGCCTCACCCACCATGCCCACTGTGCAAATGCAGTTACAAACACATTTTTCCAGGAAATCTTAGGTTGAGGACTCAGAAGTCACAGAAATGAAAACATGTTTGCCCGACGATTCATTTGATGAAATTAGAGAATGTGGTACACATCCCTCATCAGACATTTCAAAACCAACTTTACTGATATATGGATTATGTTAAGTAAATATGACACATTTTAAATGGTCAGTGATTTTTGAGCACTATAGATGCAGATACTCATGGAATCCTCAGCTCTATTATGGTGTAGATCATTTTTACCACCTGGAAAGTTCCCCCAGCCTGTTGCCATGCCTCCTTTCACCCTGGACAAGCAGTGGTATGACTGTTACCACTGTAGAGTGGTGCTGCTCAGGCATCTTTTTAAAGGAAATTTAAAACTTCTACCTGTGGAAAACACTTCCTTTACAGTACACAGCCACATAGTCAAGGGGCGAGGTGCTCCTGCATAGCTTTATGATTTAAGAAATGTTTGAAAACTTTCAAGGCACCTGGTCTAAAGATGAATGCTGTCATGAAATGACTGTCACAGGTCTTTCAAGCTTGTACATGCTGTTTCTCCACAATGTATTTATTCATTTTTTTTCATTAACGGACATTTTAACAAAAATTAATCATCTCTACAAAGTACTTTTTGTGTTCCCGTCCGACAACATGCAGCTGGTCTCCATGGCCACCCATGGAGTGGGCTGGAGCCCAGCAAAGCACGGGCAACGGTGATTTCACCAAGAGGTGGTACCACACTGGGACAAAGTTGTGTTTCCCTTGACCCTAAGTGCCCAAACCATAAAACATGAGTGTCTATCTAGAAAGTCCCCTTTTTGTTGTGGCCCTGCCCTGGCACCAGGCTGCTGTGCTGTGTGTCCCTCTGTCTCCTGCACCAGGGGAGCTCTGGGCACAGATGTGGACCCCCTTGTGGAGATTGCTAGACACCAGCTTGTAGGGTACAGCACAAGGTGACTCTTTGGTCTCACTTTAATTTCTGTGTCCTTATCTCCTAACCATACAGAGGCTGAGTGACCTGGACCCCAGTCACCGTGTACTAAAAGGAAACCAACACATGAGAGGTATGTAGCATCTGACACTCACAATCACAGACCCAGGACCAGGTACATAAGTGCCTGGGAGGTCCTTTTTTCAACATTGTTAAGAATTTGAAGATCATGAGAACAAAGTGTTAAAGCAAGTGTGGGGTCTATCTATTTGCTGGGCTCTGCCCAACAGGATACACTTTCTAAATTGCTTTTTAGCTCTTAATTAATGTTATGTATACTGAACAAGGGGATAGTCCTCAAGAAATACAATGTCTCAAATAAAAGCAGAGCCTTCTTCCTTACCTTGAAGTCTGCCACCACTCCCCAAGGCGGTCACACATCAGGATGCCTTTGTGCTAATAGCTGCTCTACAGCACTGGGCAGTCACCCAGGGAACTCTACCTGCTGGGCTCTCTCTGCAAACACAGGAAGCACATGCTCTGGGGTAGACAGGAAGGTGGTCTAGCTATGTTTGGCAGGTGTCCCATCTGTCAGTGAATTGACAAGAAACAGCAAAATAATTCCTTAAATTTTTATGAACCTTCTCCTAGGATTTGGAAACTGGATACTAAAGAGAATTATTGTAGGTGGAGGATATTTGTTTTTAAACTGGCACTCCATCGTGGCATGTAGGTGGAGGATTTTAATGCAATTGTGGTCAATTAAGCAAATTAGAGAAGGATACTCAAGGACTATTTCGGACACAGAAGTTACAAGGATTTGCACCAGGATTCTAGACTACAGAAAGATTTAGATAATTAAACCAGTGTATTAATGAGGAACTACATCATCATAGCAATAAAATATACATAGGTGCAAACTATTTACAAAAAAAATCTAGAAATCTTGTAAGGCTGTGTCAGTTCAGACAAATGCATTCTTCCCATCCTGAGCTGTTGACTTGCGAATTTATTGTTTATTTGACCCACTGGGGAGGGGGGCGTGGCCCCTCCTGGCAGGAAGGCTCTGGGGCCCAGGCAGGAAAAATGAGGTCTCAGAATAACTCCCTCGAGAGCCCCGTTCCTCTTTCATCACTGCACAGACCCAGAAGTCCCCGCTGTCCTGCCTGACACCTGCCATGACTGCCAGTCTCCTGGGCTGTGTGGCCTTTTGCCTCCTGTGGGCAGGTGAGTACCGGGCAGGGCTCTTGCCTTGACTTCAAGACCCGGAGCAAGACCTTTCCTTGGGGCTGCAGCGCCATCTTCATTCTTCTCTGCAGGTTCAGTGACTGCTGGTGTCACCCAGACCCCAAGATTCCAGATCCTGAAGACAGGACAGAACATGACGCTGATGTGCACCCAGGATACGAACCATGACTCCATGTACTGGTATCGACAAGACCCTGGGCTGGGGCTGAGGCTGATCCATTACTCAGTTGCTGCTGGTACCACTGCCAGGGGAGATATCCCTGAAGGCTACAATGTCTCTAGATCAAGTACAGAGACCTTCTCCCTCACGATGGAGTCGGCTACCCCCTCCCAGACATCTGCGTACTTCTGTGCCAGCAGTGAATACACAGCGCTACACGGCAGCCTCCTCGCTACACATAAAGGCAGGGGAGGCTCCGCATTCCCAGAACTCAGCGATGCCCTCGGCAGGTTCTCAGTACCAGGACCCTGGAGCCCCGAGGGGCCCGTGCAGTGCGAGCCTGGGTCTGTGCCAGGTGCACCTGCAGGAAGTCCCAGCCAGGCTGGACTGATCCCAGGCCTCAGGCACAGACGTGTCTCCCTTGTGGTTGTCTCATCTTTCTGTTCAGCTGTCCCACTGGGGTGGGGATGGGGCTCCCCTGGCTCTGACTGTCCTAGTCATTAGCCTGAGACTGAGGCCTCCAGGATGGGACATGATTTGTGTTCCAGCCACAGGTAGATCCCTGTCTCCACCTGGGTGTCACGTGGCTCTCCGTGTAGGGTTCTGCCCCTGCCCAGCCCTCACATGGCTTCTGCTGCAGCCCCCCTTTCCCATATGGGACATCACCCCGGGAGGCCCTGCTGGGTCTCTCCTTCCCCACTTCTGCCCCCTCCTCCAGCCAGGCTGCACAAACCCTCACCTGCGCCTCCCTCCTTCCCATCACAGGGCCTCAAAGGCCCTTTCCTCTGCCCTGGGTATGGAGCCTTCCCTTCTGTAGAGGCAAATTCCTACCTGAGCTTCAGATCTCAGCCAAATCACCGCCCACCCCACCCGGAGGGAAGCTTCCCCTCACCTCCCAGCTGAGGTGAGTTTCCCTCTCACAAGCTTTCATGCTATCATGTGCCCATTAGTCAGTAGACTTTAGAACAGTTAGAATTTTCCAGATACTCTTTTTGTTCATTTTCTACCCTACTAGATGTTAAACTCCATGAGAAACAAGGCTCCGCCTGTGCATTTATCAAGAACAGTGTCTGGCAAGTTGCAAACACCCTTTTCATAGAGAATGGGTGAGGGATTGGTGATTTCATAGTGAATGGGCGGACGAACCAGTAACAGGAACACCCTACATCTCACTTTATGCTAAAAGAAATCCTGGGCCGGGCGCTGTGGCTCACGCCTGTAATCCTAGCTCTCTGGGAGGCCGAGGCGGGCAGATTGCTCAAGGTCAGGAGTTCAAAACCAGCCTGAGCAAGAGCAAGAGCAAGAGCAAGACCCCGTCTCTACTATAAATAGAAAGAAATTAATTGGCCAACTGATATATATATAAAAAATTAGCCGGGCATGGTGGCACATGCCTGTAGTCCCAGATACTGGGGAGGCTGAGGCAGTAGGATCGCTTGAGCCCAGGAGTTTGAGGTTGCTGTGAGCTAGGCTGACGCCACGGCACTCACTCTAGCCTGGACAACAAAGTGAGACTCTGTCTCAAAAAAAAAAAAAAGAAATCCTGCATTAATTATAAGAAATACTGTCCCTTTGATCACTGGACATAGGTGGTTCAGGGATTTGTTGGGGAATGTCTATCCCAGGGGCCCAGATCTGCTTCTGAGCATCCATTTGTGGTTGCAGCATCAGATGTCCCCAGATGTCCGCTTGCCATTTCAAGCACATCCTCCACAATAAATCTGGACAGCTGAGAGAACCATTCCAGAAATCCATCCATACAGTTTTTTTTCCTGAGAACCATTGCTGGTTCCAAAAATCCATTATGTTTCTATTAACAAAACTGATAGGAAGTTCATGGAATTATATTTCCATAAAAGTTGATGGGAAGAAGGGATTTAGCACAGAAGGGAATTAGACCTTATGGAAATGTAGGAGGAGCTGAGGAAGAGGAGGTCTGGAAGGGAGAAGTCAGAAGGTCACAGAGACAGTCATCAGCCAGGGCTCTTGGGGCTCTGGTGCAGGACAGGCTGGAGTGTCAGGGCCATGAGAGGATCAGAGCACGTCAGGCCACCCAGTGGGACCTTGGCCAGGGAGTGTAGGAAAAGTCTAAGGAAACTCATTTCTGGGGATGCTGTTGCCTCTGTGTCAGGTCACCTTTGTGGGTTCACAGCTAAGTACCTGGGGGTTGCCTGGCTACTGATGGCTAACATTTGGGACGATCAACTAGACACAGAGTGCAGAAGGCAGAGAACTCCCTTGGTTTGTTGGACACATCTGTATCTCTCCTTCACTGCAACTCACTCTCTGACCACAATGACCTTCCACGTGTAATTGTGATTGTTCTATCTGGATATTCCTAATTTCACACAAATGCTTCCTTCCCCAGCAGTAACCCAGAACAACAAAGAAAAGGCATTCTTGGAAGTGTAGTTCATTGCCTTCACTAAGCTGACTCAACACAATCTAGTGTAGAATGGATTCTCCCAGACCAAGATCACAGACCTGTTTCAACCTGCCATGGTTCCCCAGGTTCCTCCCCTGGGGGATATCTTCCCAGGTGAATGTAGACACAAGTCTGATGTCTCTGCTCAAGATTTTCCAAGCCCTGGTTACTAACTTTACTTTTAAGACTGTGGCTGCCATCTCCCTTCTGCTGAAAAGCAGGACTCTTTCTTCTGCTTGTACCTCCTTCTTCATGAGCTTCTGTCCTGCTGGAGTTACAGGGACATCAGGACCCCTGGTCAGAGGGGTCCAGATCAAGCACTAGGAGGTCATCTCATCTCTAGCTATCTCCTGGACCCAGTTCCATTACAGCTAAAGCAAGTTATCTGGTCTCCCTTTGGGTTCCACAGTCTGAGAAATATGCTTCATTTCATTATAGCTCATCAGCTCAGTGTGCTTGTGATAAACCCAAATGAAATCATCAGAGCGAGGGCCTAGCCCTGCATTTCCACGATGTTGTTGAGAATACAGTGCTGCAGAGAAGCTTCTCCCCATGCGTAGAACTGGCCCCAACAGGAAAGACCAGAGAGGGCTAAAGAGACGACACATGTTTCGGATGTTGTACAGGCAATTTCCCAGGACATTTTTTACTAGTGACCAGAATATGCCTTTAGGAAGACACCTCTGACAATTCTTCCTCTCATACTTGGTGAGTACCACGATATCGCAGGTCCCAGTGTCTTCTAACAACAGGAAAATAATTGAAAATAATCCAGATAACAGTCTCCTTCCTGCCCAGCATCGATCAACTTCCCCAAAGTTTGTTGTGCCCCAAAGAGCTCTGTCTCCTCCTGGCTCCTTCTACCCAGGCAGGTTTAATTCATAATTAATGTGACTCCTTAACCTATTCAGATGACAACACATGGCTTTAAGGAAAACAACATTGATTTTACTTTAAATAGGGTGGAACAACATAGTAAACTGAATACTTTCGTTCCATAATTGTCTTAAGGTGGTCAGTGGTAGAAGAAATCTTTGATGCTAGGACCCATGCACTGACTTTGTTTAAAAGAAGAATATGCATATTTACATCAGTCGTCCAAATATGTTGTATTATGTATCCTGTGTTCCTGAGGTCATGGGGATTGAGAGAGGAAGTGACATCACTGTGGGAACTGCCATGTGCTAACAAGGACGTCCCTCCTCCTCTGCTCCTGCTCACAGTGGCCCTGACCTGGAAACCCTCCCATTCCGCCCCAACCCAGCATGGGCTTCAGGCTCCTCTGCTGGGTGGCCCTCTGTCTCCTGGGGACAGGTGAGTCCCCAGAACATCAAGCAGTTTCATTGTGTACCTGTGTACGTGTGTGTGTGTGTGTGTGTGTGTTTGAGAGAGAGAGAGAGAGATGACAACAATTGCTTCCCTCATTCTGTTCCCAACTTCTGTCTTCACAGATCATGCAGGTGCTGGAGTCTCCCAGTCCCCCAGACACAAGGTCGCAGAGAAAGGACAGAATGTAACTCTTAGGTGTGATCCAATTTCTGGCCATGACTTCCTTTATTGGTACCGACACACTCTAGGGCAGGGCCCACAGTTTCTGATTTACTTCCAAGACAAAGGTGTAGCAGAGCAATCAAAGCTGATTGGTGAGCGGATCTCTGCAGAGAGGCCCGAGGGATCGTTCTCCACTCTGAAGATCCGGCCCGCGGAGCAGGGGGACTCGGCCGTGTATCTCTGTACCAGCAGCTTAGCCACAGCGTGGCACACTCACCTCCTTCCTGCTCACAAACCTCTTCCTTCTTGTTCCTTGCAGCTCCCAGAGACCCTAAAGAGAGGCCTCTCCTTGTTGTTCAGTCTCAAAAGCAAAGAAGGAGATTTGGACCTCAGTTGTTCTTTGGGTGGAAAGAGACCACAGATTTACTCCTGAAACACAGTGGCCGTAAAGTGTGTGGTGAAAACAATTGTGTCCCGTTGAGTTTTAGAAATCCACACAGCCAGCTCCATGCTCCAAGGCAGAAAACTTCCTAGGTGAGAGAAATAGAAGAGACTTCAGAAGAAAGAGTCTTTCTGCCTCAGCTGGGCCTTTGGGGCGGGGAGAAGCAGTCGTCTGTAGGACTTGGAGGTCGCTGCCTACATGTATGAGTTTCGGTCATGGCCAGGGAACATGCCTCGTCTCTTGCATTTGTTGATGGCATTTTGTATCTGGAAGGTCTGAGGCTACTTCCTCAGGAATGTTCTTTCTTCTGAAGCTCCTTCTATTCCTGATGCATTGGAAGTTTTCTGGAACATAGTATCAAACCCATTTTCCTGATTTGCGATCTCTCTGCTCTTGTTCCTAGAAGCCACAATCTAAGGGAGCCTCAGCTGATCCTTATCCTACCTGGTGCCCCGGTTGCCTGGCTGTGTGAATCTGTGTCTCCTATGAGCATGCCAGTCCAGAAAAGTGACAGCTATTTTGAATTTAACTAAATGTCACACCAAACTCATTCTTTATTAGCAATGATCTTTCTTTGCATCCAACATGCACATGCTCGAGTCACTGGTAACAGAGACGGGAGAAGCAGCAGCTCTGGCTGGCAGCCCATTACAACTGCACGATTCCTCGGTGGCGCTGACCAGCTCTGGGGTAAGGACTCATTTTCTATGGAAAATATGCAGCCCCAGACCAGTCAATAATAACCCTGTACCTATTTCTGGCTAATGTGTCAGAAGCATCAAACTCACCTTAGATATTCTCCTTTCCAAGATGCAATGCAGTCCTTTTCTATCTCAGTCCTGGGAGATTATGGGGAGCACCCAGAGCACCCCCTGCTCCAGGGGCAGGAACTCCAGGGCTCCTCCTCACCTGCTCCTCCCAGACTGCAGCAGGGCTGTGCTTCCCAGGTCTAGGGTGCAGGCGTGGCTCTGTCTCTCTCTCTCAGGTAAAGAGAGATCGTAGAATGATGTCTGGGTAAGAGAGAGTGGATTCCTCTTACGTTCCTGGCAAATATTTCTCAAACATTTCTTTGCTTTCTCTCTCAAGTCACTTATTAGGAGAACAATTTCTTTCTGGTGGCATTGTTTCTGGCACATGGAAACGTTTCCATGGTTAAATTACATTAAGAAATCATTTCAATTACGCATATGTTCTATTTGGATATAACTCGATAGGGAAAGAAACAGCAATAATTTTAAAAGCAGTCAGTTTACATGTCTGATGATGAAGGCATTGTTTAAGTTTCATTGCACACACCTAACTTTAGGTCCAGTGGAACTGGAAGACACAGGGTTATAGGGCCTGTGATCAAGCTCTGAGAGAGGACTATGTATTCCAATTATTGTGGGAATTTAAAGGAGGGAGGCGTTATTTCTCCTTCAGACGGTGCTCAGCCAGGAAGGGGCGGGAGGGGTCCATGGGAACCTGAGAGGAGCAACTACTAGGACCAAGTCTAAGTCGGGGTGGAGTGAGGGATGCAGGAGCAGATCCTTAGAAATGGACATGGGTAATCTGGACTGTCACTGAAGACGGTGGCAAGGAAAGTCATATAACCCAGCCCACAGTGCCCAGGCAGATCCTACTTCCTGACACTACTATGTTGCACCAGTGTGTCCCCATCTCCCCCCAGCCCTCTGCCTCTTCTGGAATCACCTCATCCCACCCTGTTGCTCAGACGAGCAGGTGAGTGTTGTACACGTTATTCATTTCCTGTCAGTCATCCTCTGCCAATCCTGAGTCCACCATCCCTATTTTCCCATTAGATGCTGCTCCCTCCATGAGCGCTCATTGCCTTATAAGACACTGTAGAATTTATAAGTCAATTTTATTTTCATTAATGCCCATTCATCCTCTTGAAGGTAATCTCATTATTGGCCCTGTGTTTTGTTAATCCATATTTTAGAATAACATTGATTGTTATTTTGGAGGGCATTTTGTTTGTCTTTAATAACGGAGATAAAATAACCTCTTTAAACTTCGACTTCTGTGTTTCACTGTTAATTAAGATGAAATATTATTTCTTTCCATTCCTCTCATTCTAATCCTCTCCCATTCATTGGTTGTCATGGTTAACCTGCCTTGCTTTTCAACTTCTAGAATAAAACTAAATACTTAGTCATGTGTCATTTGGAAACTGCCTTTTTCTTATGCTACTCTAGATGTTTTTCTTTGATATTCCTTCTAGCCAAGTAAATGTTGTCTCCTCTATTGCATTTATGGGTTTTCTCAGACTCACACCCAGTGAGTCTGAGTCTCCCTAGTTTTAAGGAAGAAAAATCTCAGTTTGGTTCTTTCTTCTAGGTATGTGATAGGAATTACGATGAGGGTGGAGTACTAAGCACAGTAGCTCAAAGAAACAGGATGACAACTAGTGTTGGAATTATAGTTTAAGGAAGTTGATCACAAAACTTTCAGGATAGGATTTCTGGAATGTTCTCCCAGCTGAGGTACTGACCTTCCCAGCATCCCTTGCACACTGCATAAGCAACAATGTTGAAACTCCACTTAATGGCCACAAGATGGCACTGTAGTACCCTGGGGTCTAAGGGGCTCTGGGGAGAGTCTGGAACAGCAGTCTAGGAGGGCAAGGGTTAAAAAAAAATGGGCTTGAATCTAATATTATGCAGAAGTTGAAGTTATCAGTTACTGCTAGGCTTCCTGCAGCCATGCAAGTGCTGGGAGGTCCCTGTCAACTTTAAAGAGAGCCACAGTTGAGGAGTGTGTCAGGACAGCCTTGCTGTGAGGGGCAGGTGCAGACAGAGGAGCAGCTGCCTCAGGGGAGCGTGGGACCCAAAGCCCAGCACATGGCTGCTGCCCTATCCTCCCTGGGGCTGCGCTAAGCCATGGCCTCCGTGAGAGGAGGGGGTCCTGCCTGAGCCCAGTCAGAAGGGACCTGGGCCAGGGAGCGTCTGGAGGGGCAGGAGGTGACTTCACAGTCCCCCACCTGACTCCTAGGGCAGGTATCCCCAACCTATGGTAAGTTGTGTAAGTACCGCATTATATATTACAATGTAATAATAATAGAAATAAAGTGCACAATACATGCAATGCTGCACTTAAAGCATCCCGAAACCATCCACCTTACCCCAGTCTGTGGAAAAATTGTCTTCCATGAAAAGGGTCGCTAGCTGGGGACAAGGTTGGGGATCACTGCAGAGCAACCTGAGAGCCCCGCTCACAGTCCTGAGGATCACAGTGTTTAGCTGGGAGAGCCCTGTCCTCTCCTGACCCTGCCATGAGCCCCAGAGTCTTCCATGTGACCCTGTGTCTCCTAGGAGCAGGTGCGTTCTGGGCTCCCCTGGGAAACCCTGTCACAGGTTGCAAAATCCCAGCTGAAAGCCTTTCCTTCCCTTTCCTCTGCAGATTCCCACTTGCTCTTAATTCTTGTCTTCACTTGATGTCTGTCTCTCCCACAGTCCCCATGTGCACTGTTGTCACCCAGACATCAAGATAGAACATTATACACACAGGGAAAAGGATGATCCTGGAATGTTCTCAGATTAGGAGCCATTATTCAATGTTCTGGTATTGACAAGACCTAGGACATGGGCCAAGGCTGATCTGTTATCCGATAGTGTCAGCGGCACTATCCCAGGAAATGTCATGGAAGGGAAAAACATCTTCTGAAACAAAACTGAGGGTTTCCCCTGAGCCTGGGGTCGACCTGCACCAAGCAGACCTCTCTGCATCTCTGGCCAATGCACCCATGGCCCTGCACAGCCAGCTACACTGTGCGCTAAAAGGGCAGCCACAGGCTGGAGGAGGACACTCCTTCCCTAATCCCCTGCCTCAACCAGGAGAACAAGCTGCCCTTTCTGAAGCTCTTCCCAGACTTCCCAGCAATGGGGTCTCGGCTGAGGATTCTCGTGCAACACGTCCCTTAGTGTGAGCTGAGGTTCATCATGGTGGTGTGTATGTAAATACAAACTGCACAATATTATTTTGCTTCATTTGGATATTCTAGTAATTGAGTAGAGCAGAGGAATTGTAGTTTCCAACATGAAATTTGTGTTTTATTTCCTTTTTGAAGGGAGAAGAACTAAGTAGAAAGCAGCTGAGCAGCTGTAAACTGCCTGAATGATCTGAGATTCTACAAATCTCTAAGCGTACACATAATGTTCCTTGGTTTTGACTCCATGGGATATCAAACATGTTCTTTCTGCAAGAAAAATAATTCTAAATGGCAAGTTTTCAAACACACAAGTAAACATCCACATAGGAGAAATGTTAGTAGATGCAGCAAATAGTTTTGTTGGACTTGAAGATAATCAACTAGTAGAATTATTTTTAAAAAGACTATAAGCTAATCCTCTACCCAGTTTCTGTGGATGTAGGGCAGTGTTTTGAGTTCTAAGAGTAGATAAGGAAGGAACCTAATTCTTAGCATTACTTTGGTTTGATTACTATTCATAAGCTCCTCATGTTTTTGTTGAGAAATATTACAGAATAATATTGTGCAAGCATGTTACTTTCTTCCAGCCTGTGTCTCTGCATAGCACCTACTGGCAGAAGTCCACACGCAGGAGCTAAGTTTCTTAACTTCGGATCTACTGAGCACAAGACTGGGAGGCCCATAGCTGGGCTTCACAGGAATACAAATCTCATGGGCAGCAAACCCACGTGCCAACCTGTGCCCAGGTGCACCTCCGGAAGGCTGCCAGGGGAGGAGCGCCAGCTCAACCACAGCCCGTCACAAGGAGAGGAGCAGGCTGCTTGCATGGCAAAAAGCAATTTGTCAATCAGCTAATCTGCTGAAAGCCAAAATGAAAGGCTAAATTGGGAGACTGACGAATGACCCATTTTCCACATTACGGTGTTTATAGCAGTCCATCGTTCATGGAATGTGCATAATAGTGCTTAAAGGTTTTTTTTGTTTTTTTTTTTAAGTTTTGTTTGTCCATAGCTTTTCTTTAGCCACTGATCCTCAATTATTTCTGCCTAGAAATAGAAATACTTTTCAGCTCAACTTGATGCCAAATTTGTGTTTTGTATATTTCAGTCACTGAGTACATCTTATGTTCTATTTTATACAGCTATCTGAGTCTTCCTGTGTTATTTTTGTGTGATTCGTTTCTAAATTGGACTGTACCAGAATACATTAATATTTATATTTGGCTTCCATCTTTTATACATACATATATATACTTTTTAGTAATACTTTTTAAAGTATAATTCATAGACAGTCGAACACTGTTTAATAGAAGGATGAATTTGACAAATGCATACAGCAGTGCAACCATAACCAAAATCATGACAGAGAACATTTCCATCATCCAAGAAATTTTTCTCATGCTCCTTTCTAATCAATTTCTCCCAGAGGTAACTATAATTCATTTCTGATTTCTATCCCCATTGATTAGTCTTTTCTATTCTTGAACTTCATATAAATGGAATCATATAGTACATTTTTATTGATTTATTTTCATCCAAAATTAATTTTTTGAGCTACATTCATGTTGCATTAGCAGTTCATTCTTTCTCATGGCTGAGTGGTATTCCATCGCATAAACATACCAAAACTTGTGTATTCATTCTCTTATTAAGGAATATCTGGATTAGTCCTGTCTTCAACCATTATGAAGTTGCTCTGAACATTCTTGTACAATTCTTTGTGGACAAATGCATTCATACCTCTTAGGTTTAGATCTAAGAGTGGAGTTACTGATTCATGGGGTAGGTGCATGTGCTATGGTTTGAATGTCCCACCTAAACTCATGTTGAAATTTAGTTACCAGTGTAATGGATTGCCGGGTAAGACCTTTAAGAGGTGATTAGGTTTGAAGGATCTGCCCTCATGAATAATTAAAGCCCTTGTTGAGGGTGCAAGTTAGCTGTCAAGGGACCAGGCTCTTGATAAATTGGATGAGTTCAGCCCCATTGTCTTTATGCCTGAGCCCTCGCTTCTGCCGTGAGATAGTGCAGCAGGAGGCCCCCACATGTGTGGCCCCTTGACCTTTGACTTCCCTGTCTTCCAAACCATGAGCCAAATAAATACCTTATCTTTCTAAATTGCTCATTCTGTAATATTTTGCTATAGCGGCAGAAAATGAGCTAAGACAGAAAATTGGTATAAGAGCGTCCTTGTTGATACTAAAAAATAAACTACCTGCAAATATGGAAGCAACTTTGGAACTGGTGATAGGTAGAAGCTGGAAGGATTTCAAGGAGCAGGTAAGAAAAAGCCTGTATTGCTGTGACTGTAGCACTAAGGGCCATCCTGGCAAGGGCTCAGAAGAAGAGGAGAGCTGTAAGGAAGGCCTTACAGGTCTCACAGGGAAAGGAGGAATAAGGTAATTGGGAACTGAAATAGAAGCCATCCTTATTCTCAAGTAGCCAAACCCTTTGCTGAATTGTATCCCTGTCTTAGGACTTTATGGAAAACAGAAATTACAAGCAATGAACTAGGGTACTTGGTGGAGGAAATATCCAAGCAGCAGAACCATCAGGCTGCTGTGTGTCTACTTTTCACCACTCTGTTATGTAATCCAGCAAGAAGGGAGTCCGGAGAGTAGATTTTGCAAGCTTGGACAGTTGGCTACCCAACAGCCCTCTGCTCTCCTGCCATGGTCTCCCACAAGACAAGCTCACTGGAGGGACAGAAGAAGGAGGCAGTTAGGATGGTCGCTGGGTCAGCCTCTGAGGGCAGGGTGCACCTGGAGGGACAAACACAAACTCTCCAGAGTGCTGCACACAGCACGGCCTTTGGTAAGTCCAGTTGGCTGTTCTGTGCTGGGAGCTGATAAAGCACCAGAATGGATTCTGTGGATTCTGTACTGCTGAT